CTATTAAAGGTCATCTTGGTTGCTTCCGATTTTTGACAATTATGAATAAAGCTACTATAACATGTGCAGGGGTTTGTGTGGGCATACATTTTAAATTCGTCTGGGTAAATACCAAGGAGCACAACTGCTAAATGGTATGGTAAGAGTATATTTAGTTTAGTTTTGTTTTTTTAAAGATGATTATATATTTTATTTTATTTTTTTAAAGATTTATTTATTTATACAAGCACTGGGTACAGTCAGAAGTGCGGGAGGGTGAGAGAATTCACCAGAGCCAGAGCAGGAAGCAGAGCAGGCAGAAGGACCAAAGCACACTGCTGAGGGGAGCAGTGGGCGGCAGGAGAGGTCTGCACACCATGTGGGACCCTCCTCCGGTGGCCGGGGAGCAGCTGGGGATCGAACCGGCGCTGCAGAGGCTGCGGGCAGCTTCGCAACCCAGCGCTCAACTGCTGCGCCACCAGGGAGGCCCAAGTATATTTAGTTTTGTATGACACTGTCAGATTGTCTGCCAGAGTGACTGCACCATTTTACACTCCCATCAGTAATGAATGAGAGTTCCTGTTGCCCTACATTCTCACCAACATTTGATGTTGTCTGTTTCATTTCATTCCAGAGATCAGGGGTATTCCAAAGACCTCAGGTTCAGAAATACAAACTGAGAGAGAACCTGAAGGGCCATGCATTCAGGGACTAGGTGTTTGGTTGCGTCTAAATCAGCCTTAAATTCTTGCTCTTTATTTGGTGTGTTTTGCTTTCACCTTTCTCAATCTCATTGAGGGGGAGCCTGAATCCTTCAAACAATGTAATAGTTCTTACTGAAGTGGCAGGGGGAGAAAATGCTTTTCCAGAGCTGAAATGAAGTAGCTAGGCCTCTAGCCATTGTCCTGGACAGTGACTTGACCTTGAGAAGGAGGGGCAGGCATATGCCATGAGGATCAGAACAGATGAGGGGCACCCAAAGTCCTACAGAACAGTCAACCCCCCTGCACCAGAGAGACCCATCTACCTCCCAATTTTTTAATCACAGAGAAATAAAATTCTAGATTTATTTAAGCCAGGTGGGTTTTTCGTTTGTTTTTGGCTTTTTTGTAAATTTCAGCTAAACCTAATTCTAGCAGACACGAGAGATTCAGTGGTTTGGCACAATGCAAGTCTGTCCTGCACACAGGGGCCTGAAATGCTCTCAGTGTTAGGTGACAGCAAGTAGTGGTGTGAGTTACAGGTTACAGAGGTAGCCTGGGGACGGCCTCACCTCCCCTCACTCAGCAGCTCACAGCGTGTGTGCCATAGGATGTGTGTGTGGGGAGGGGTTGCTGTGTGTATGTGGAGAGGGGTGGGGGTGTGAGGTGTGGTGTGTGTGGAGGGAGCACTCCAAGTTTTTTCCATAGAAATTCATGATAATAATGTTCCCAGGTCCCAAAAATAACCTACCGAATAAGAATGTTCTACTTTCAGATAGTTGGGGAAACCTATAAAATTTTAAATGACTGAAGTTGAAGCTGATTGAGTAAAGCCAGCGATATTGAAACAAGTTTAAATTTAAATACAAAATGCTGAGGGAGGTTAAGTAATTAGAGTTGGCAGGATAACAAACAGTAGGATTTTGAACCTCTCCTAAAAGTCCATTCAGAGCCCCACACCCAGGTTAGGATAAGGTTTCAGTCACTGGGTCAGTAGATTGCTTTCCCTTAAGAACCAGCTCCTCCCCACCCCCAGTAAAGGCTAATGTGAAACTCCCCCTCGAGTGGCACTGTGGGGTCCCGGAAACTCATCAGAGAATCAGGTCCCAAGCAGATGGTGTGGCTTGGTCCTCCCAGTGCAGCCAGCCTAAAAAACTCTTCAGCAGCTTGTTTTGGGAAAGGTGGGGGAGATAAGCACAGGCTCTGCTCCCTGCCATTTTACCCCTAAGGCCCAGAATGGGACTTGGGAGATGAGAAAGGGATTGGGGGCACCTAGGGATGGAGCTGCTGGGGCTGGCACTTCGAGTGGCACCGAGGAGGTTCTCAGGGTGTGTGTGGTTTTCTCATTCTATGCAATAGTGCCAGGGGAACAGTGGCGTTTTGTGAAGTAACAGCTTCTTCTGAGTGAGGCACAGATGGAAAAGTCACTTTTATTTTAGGCCTGCTGCTTTTCTTTCCCTGCCTTCCCTGAAGCATCGGTCCCATCCCGGGAGAGCAACCCAAAAATGACGCTTCCAGACTCACAGCCTCTAAACAGAGCCCAGATGCAAGGGACTATTAAAATCAACATTTGCAAAGGCCCAGGGCCCCAGTGCTCCCCTGGGGAATCACCTCAAATGACTGTGGTGGGTGTGGAGAAACTGAGTTAGTGAGATGAAGCTGGCAGCTTCACGTCTGGATTTTCTTCTATGTCAGCTCTCCAGAAAACCCCCATTAGGGACAAAATAGTGCTCAGGAAAAGCTGAGCGTATGACCTACTTATAGGCAGTGTTAATTATGGGCTCTCGGGTGCCTGTCATCACTTAGCCAACTTCCAGGGCTGTTGATGGAGACTGATTTATCCCAAAGCAGCCTGGGCCCTTGTCTCTGAAATGGCTCCCCACACATCAGCGTGGATCAAGCTGTGGTGGAGTAATTACTAGGTGGAACGAGGAAAGGGACCATGGCAGGCTCGGGGGCTTGAAGCTCCGGGGTCAGCACTGCTGTCAAAGAAGCCCCTGTGTGGGCTGAGGTGCAGAGTGCAAGGGGTGGCCACACACAGCACCCTCTGGGGTGTGAGGCAGCTGGCAGGGTGATTCGGCCCAGCTGGGGCGCCCAGAACCTCACCCTCGGTTGATTCTCTTTCCACATGCGTCTTCCCCTCCCTGGAAAGTTCATTGACTGCCCACACATGCGTGCGTGTACGTGCTCTGTCCCCCAGGGACTCTGGTAAACAGTTTTCTCTCTCTAGTGGAATCTCATTGTGTTTTGCTGGCTTCATTCTTCCCAGCTCATTTGTGAAGCGGGCAAGGGGTATCATTACCACTCTCTTACTTGTTATGCTGCCTGAGAGGAAAAAAAAAACAAACAAGAAAGTTTTTCCTTTTCCAAGAGTCTAATTACTTGTTGGGTGCGCCCCGACCCATATACATTTCCAAAGAGAGAGACACTTGATGCTGCAGAAATGTCCTTGGGCCGGATTCAGAGACCCTCTCTCTACCCACCATGCCGCCATGCTGGCTCAGCAGCCAGACCAGTCTGTTTCTAAAACTTCTCTGTGAATTTAGGGCACTCTATCTTGCCTTGGGTCCCTGCACTTGCCATGCTCTTTCATGCCTTTTTGCCTTCGCCATATTTGTCCCTTTGCCAGGCCTCTGTGTCTTTCCTGTTCCTGCTTCTTATTCCTTTCTCCTGTCCCTAACTAGTTCCCCCTCCCCTGAGCAGACTGTGTACTTTTTTACCTGCTTTGGTTTTTGCATGAACAAACTGTCCTGTATTTATTTATCTGCCTGGACTTGCCTCCCTCCCCGCCCCCACTCCCCCAGGCAGGAAGCCCCTGGGGTCAAAGTCTCCACTGGGCCACCTTTTTATCTTTGACACTTGGCATGTTTTCTGCACATGGAGGGCTGCATTGAGGTAGGCCCTTAGGGGAATGCTCACCTGCCAGAATGGCAGAGGTGCAAGCATGCACCACCATTGTGCCCCCAGCCCAGCTACCAAGTTCTTGATTTCAGTGCCTCACCCATCATCAAATTCAACATCTTCAACCTTAACTCGGCCAACTCATCTTGTGACTTGTGTGCAGTTTTCCTCTTAAGTGTGAACTACATGGTCAGGTTTAGAATTCTCTCCATTCATTCATTCCTTTCCTTCTTCATGCCAGCTACACCTCTAGGCAATAGGTATGCAGAACAACACAGATTAGTCACTATGCTCATGGAATTCCCTTTCTAATGGGCAGAGAAGCAGCAGGTAAATCAATAAATAAGACCCCCAGGAGGGTTATGACAGGTGGAGACATGGACTCCACCTCTTGCTGGGGATGAGGGGGCGTGGTTACAGTGCTGACGAATTTGTGGGATGGGAGGAATTGTTAGGGCCACCTTACACCAGGCCACATTGTTTTTTGTTTTTCTATTGTTCTGCTTCCGAATATGTCCTTAAGTAGTTTGACAGAAGAAAAGGCCCTCAGCACAAAAGGTTTTCCCTCTTCGTGGATGTGATCAGATTATCGTTCATGTTTTGTTTTGTTTTTTTTAAAAGATTCATTTATTTATACAAGCACTGGGTACAGTCAGAAGGCGGGAGGGTGAGAGAATTCACCAGAGCCAGAGCAGGGAGCCCAGCAGGCAGAAGGACCGAAGTACACTGCTGGGGGGAGCAGCGGGCGGCAGGAGAGGTCTGCGCGCCATGTGGGACCCTCCTCCGGTGGCCAGGGAGCAGCCAGGGATCGAACCAGCACTGCAGAGGCTGCAGGCAGCTTCGCAACCCAGCGCTCAACCGCTGCGCCACTGGGGAGGCCCCGTTCATGTTTTGTTAAACCAGAAAATGATACTCGTAGCTCAGGCTTGCCAAGCATGTGCCACCCAGGCTGCAAGGCATCCTCTGGCAGGAATGGTGGACACGGGCGCATTCACATGGGAGTCAGCCGTGAATTCAGAGCTGGCTTCAGCGCTTTTGGCAGGGAGCCTGCAGGTGCTGAGATGGGTGTCCTCTGAGTGACAGTTTTGAGGCGTCTGGTTGGGGCCTTGCATCTGGCTCAGCTCTAGACAGCTCAGCATGCTGATGGCTGCCTGACAGGACATCAGGGCGCCGTCACCGCTGAGCCCTGGCACTCCAAGATGGTTTGACTTTGAAGACCGGAGAATGAATGTGCAATTTCCAAGCTCCGGTATCTGGAAACCACTGGTGACTTCCTTTCTCCACAATGTATCTGCAGTGCAGAGAAGGCAGAAACTGGTCCCCTTGGGCCAGGCGTTGTAACACCCAGCCTTCCCGTGGGAGTAGTGCATGCGGCACCACTCTGCCCGCTCTAACCTCTGCCCTCCTTTGGCCTGACAGATGGTGGCAGGCACTTGTGGTGCCCATCGCTGCAAGACATCATGGACACATTTCACAGACTGGGTGCCCTCAACCCTGCTGTCTACCCTCTGGGAGCCATCCAGCAGGAGTGGAGGTGAGTATATCTCTGTCCTCACCATTCTTTCTCATTTGTCCAATCGTTTTTGAACTCACATCAAACTCATTGATTTGTAGAAGTTAAATACATGCAGGTTCTTGCATATTGGTTACGCCTCCATATTTTTTTTAAGATTTATTTTATTTATACAAGAACTGGGGTACAAGCCAGAAGCACAGGAGGGTGAGAGGATTCACCAGAGACAGAGCCAGGAGCAGAACAGGCAGATGGACCGAAAACACTGCTGAGGGGAGCAGTGGGCGAGACAGGAGAGGTCTTCCGCGCCATGTGGGTATCTCCCTGGCCGGCCGGGAATCAAACCGGCGCTGCAGAGGCTGCAGCACTTACTGCACTCACCCTGCTGCACCACTGGGGAGGCCCCTCCCTATATTTTTTTAATAATTTATTTATTTGTGCATACAAGAGCTGGGGTGTAGGCCAGAGGTATGTGGGGTGAGAGGATCACCAGAGACAGACTGTGGAGCAGAACAGGCGGATCTACTGAAATACACAGCCGAGGGGAGCAGCGGGCGAGTCAGGAGAGGTCTGCTGTGCCATGTGGGTTAGCTCCCTGGCTAGGGATCAAACTGGCGCTGCAGTGGCTGCCGATAACTTCGTAGTGCTGAGGCCCACACCTCCATATTTTTGTGACCATATTACTCTTACACAATTGTTAAAATGAAATATTACCAAGAAAGAATCTTCTAAATAGATATACATGCTGGGAAACATCAAAATATTCCCTAGTCTATAAGAATACTGCTACAGGCCCTTTGCTGAGTAAGGCTGTCGGTTGCAGTACTTTATTTGTGGTGTGCATCCGCAGCTCAGTGAGTATTTTTAAGTTAGAGAAAGGACAGAATTCCTCTGATTATTATATAAAATTAAATGCATTTTTTTTTGAGGTGAAAAAACAAAGTCACTAAGCTCAGGCTCTAGCCCACACAGTGAAGCACAGTCAGGAATTGCAGAGCCGCCGCCCACAGTACCTGTGAATAGGAGTGTCACACCACAGACTGAGCTGCTGTGCTCTGACCTCAGGGGGACAGGAAGAGCCGCAGAGGCGTCTGGCTGCGTTGGCTGCCATCTGTTCCTGCCCCTTCCTGACTCAGCCCTCCCTGCCCATCTTTGTCCAAGACACATCGCAATCTCTTGTCCCCTCGGAGGCTTTCGTTTGACCCATTACCTAAACAGCAAGGCACTGTTTCACAAGTAATTTCCACAAAGCCCGTTTTGTTTTGTGGGTGCCCCTTGTGTGCCCGCTTGCACACTGGCTGATTGGGAGGACAGTGATGTTCATTTGCATACAATGAATGCCTCCCTGCCCTCTAGGAATGGAATCATTAGCACATAATTGACTGTTGGTGGATGGTGACAAAGTCTGGGTTGTAAAATTGTTACATAGCATAAGTTCGTAAGTTATGTGTACAGATGATAACACAGCCAAACTTTGCTTTCTTGGGACTTCTTTGAGAAGTTGGTTTGAGATGTGACAGTGCTCAGAGCCCTGGCCAGGCTGTTACAGGGGAAGCCCCCCTCCCCCACCCTGCTGGCAATCCTTTTGCCCCAGGAGGGACCCTTTCCTTTTCTGTGGGGCGGATGTTCCTCTTCTGGGAAGGATGAAGCTTTCTTAAGAACCTGTTCCACGACCATGTTTAGTAACTGTCTGCCAAACCAAACCAGACCAAACCACACTCGGCTCTGCTATAAATACCCCATGCATGTGCCAGCCTGTGCCTCCTGCCCCCTCCCTCCCCTTGGAGTTCCCTATCTGGTGTAATAAGCCACAGTCTTAGATGAGCCGAGAAAGAATTAGACTCAAGAAAGCAAATGCACATGGCGGGAGGGGGATTCAGAAGAGCTGCTTCTAACTGGTCTGATGGACACTAGTGTTGACTTGGAAAGGGAGAAGTGGCCGAGGCTTATGGGCACTTACTCTGTGATCTGCAAAGAGCCACTTCCTATCCCCACTCCCTTCTCCCAGGATTTGTGGCTTCCTGCCCATTATGCTTCAGGACAGATCCACTGTGTCTGCAGGGAGCAGGTGGACATTAGAACTGTGGCCCTTTAAACACATCATCCAACTCTCGCAGCACTCTGGGTAGGAGGATACAGTCATGTTGTCCTGGGACAGAGCCCAGAGCTCCACAGAGCTTCATGGTTGCATTCCCAGACTGCTGTTTTAACACCCCTGCCCCCCCTTCTTGGGCCCCACACCTTGAGCTGACTGTTAGCACCATTGCTGGAGGGCTCAGAATTGACCCAGTGAAGGTAGCTAGTAGCCAGTGGCTGCTGGGGTGAGTTCCTGTTGCAGCCCTAAGAACAGGTGGGAGCCACCTGGCACACCTCAGAACTTGGGGAGATTTTCCTGTCTGAACTAAGCCTTCTTTTTTTTTTTAATAAATTTTATTTTTATATTCCCCCTTTAATTGCAACCCCCTTATTATGACCCCGATTCCTCCCCTCCCCGCCCCCTCCCCCCATAGAGTGTCTCTGGTTCATAGTTGTTTGTTGATTTTGATTTTCACTTTCTTCTAGTTATTCATTTTCCTGGTCCCTTATTTAAGTTTTCTAGATTCCTGCTATGAGTGAGACCATCCAGTATTTTTCTTTTTCTTTCTGGCTCATTTCGCTGAGCATGATCCCTTCCAGCGCCATCCATGTTGCTGCAAATTGCATGTGTTTATCTTTTTTGAATGCTGAGTAATATTCCATGGTGTATATGTACCACATCTTCTTGATCCAGTCATCTATTTTGGGGCATTTGGGTTGTTTCCAAAGCTTAGCTATTGTAAACAGTGCTGCTATAAACATAGGGGTGCAGGTGCTCTTTGGAATTGATGTTTCTGTGTCCTTTGGGTAAATACCTAGGAGTGGAATTGCTGGATCATATGGAAGCTCAATCTTTAGTAGGTCAAGAAATCTCCACACAGCTCTCCATAGTGGTTGGAACAGTTTGCACTCCCACCAACAGTGCAGGAGAGTTCCTTTTTCTCCACACCCTCGCCAACATTTGTTGTTGCTAGTTTTTTTAATATGTGCCATTCTCACTGGTGTAAGATGGTATCTCATAGTACGAACTAAGCCTTCTTTTGAGAAGAGAACAGGTCTTGGAGACCCTTCCATAACCTCCCTGGGCCTGGGTGGCAAAGTCGCTCCTGTGGGTTTCCTGGGTTGTAAACTGGCTGCTGTGCTTGGGGAAGCCCCTGGTGTCATTGACTTGAAAGACGATGCCTCTAACCTATTCAGGAAGAACCACAAAAGGAGCTGGCATCTCATTCCCTGAGGGTGTGGCCTCCTTGGCTGCGTGGACTGAAAGAAACTTCAGGACTCTGCCTTCTCCTCACTGTTCTCCTCATCCTTTTCTTGATCAAGCTTAGTGCCAGTTGGTTTCATGTCCATTGACTTCCAGGAATGTCTCCATCCAGGGCTCCCCTGGGGCTGATCTCTGCACACCACAGAGCTCATAATAGTCAAGGACCTGAGTGGTCTCTACATGTGGCCCTGAGACTTGGCTATTTTTCTAGCTGCTGTGAGAAAGATATCTTTCATCATTTTTCCTAATCTCAGATTTCCTTAAAACTCATGACCATCTTATCCAGCACTTCAAAATTTCCTTTCAGAAAGATACAGCCCTTCTGCAGCCAGACCAGTGGATGATCTGATGTCTGCCTTGTTGCAAATAGAGTAGCTGTCTGCTCAGTGTTGAGGCCTAGGAGGCAGAAATTGGGGAAATGTTTAGAATGAAGGGGCAGAAGAGGAGGGACCAGCACATGAACACTGAGTGGGAAACAGAAGTGAGAGCTTCAGCATCCTCACAGAAGGGGCTTATGCCCCCACAAAACTACACATAGACCCCACAAAATTACACACATATATAAAACTACACATATACTCTTTCTCACCTGGAAAGAGAGGGAGGGTCCCTAGGTAGTCATGGCTGGTCCTCCAAGGCTGCTCCCTGTTGACAAAGCCTGGCTGATGTGCCCTGGTCAGGTACACAGGACTGACCACAGAAGACCGGCAGCCAACTACTGTTGCCAAGCGCGGGAAACCCTCTTTCACTTGTTTCTCTGAAAGGGTCACCTGGTGCAGAGGCCAAGCAGGTAAATAAATGACAGTTAATACATTGAGAGGGCATGCTGTCAAGTGAGGGGCGGTTGCTAACCATCTTGGGGCTGTGTAACTGGATCCAGGTGAGATTTGCTTCTCTCCCCCTTTCCATTAGCTCAGCATTGATTCTTCTTCATCGCATTGACCTCAGCCATTGACCTCAGCCGCACGGGCCGGGCCTCCACACGGGGGGCTCTCGGTCATGGTGGTGGCTTCCCTCCCCAGCTCCCCCCCAGGAATTTGATGCACTCCGCCCATAGTAACTATTATTTTTTTCAACCTTGGAGAGGGAAACAAATACAGAAGCTGAGGTGGAGCTGAGTGATGTGCCCCTCGTGGATACTTAATGATGCAGAACAGGGACCCCCAAAACCAGCTCCTGGGTGCTGCCACAGGTAGATCCCCACAGACAGCTCCCCAGACACAAACAGGGTGCGGGAGGAGGCCCGAAAGGCAGAGGCTAGAAGGATGAAGCTGCTTTGTTCAGGGCATCCACTGATGGAACAGTCTATGTGCTCCTAACCTGCTCAGTCCAGGCAGGGCCCACATGGGGTTGTAAGGCTGTGAATTCCTGTGCTCCACGGTCTCCTGTGCTCCAAGGCGGAAGCCACTGATGTGCATCTGGAGGCAGTAGCCACAGATGCCAACATTTCAGTCAAGTGGTTCCTGAGAAAGGCAGCGAGTAGAGGACCCGCTACATGCCTGCTTTTCCAAGGTGAGGTGGCCCACTGACAAGCTGCAGCGCTCTCCGCTTGGGAAGGATGGATTCCCTCCCAAGGAGAAGAGGGCTCCTCTCCCAGCCACACCTCCCTCCCCAGTTCAGAGAAGATGCCTCACCAGCTCACACTCCTCCTCCCTTTGGCAGCACAAACTGTCTGAGAGCCCATTCCTCTTCCGCAGAGTCACGAAGCTGAGCCGTGACTGCCCCCGCCCTTCGGGAAATCTGAAAGCATCCCACTCACATGCCTACCCTGTGCACTCACAGGCTGGTACCACTCAGAAGTCCCCCTCCCTTGCTGGCACAGGCCCAGCATGTACCCAGATGTGCAAACACCAGCCTCACCCATTCTCTGGCTCTAATAAACATTAAAATCTGCAGGAATGGTTGAACCCCTCTCCAACCCCCCTCCCCAATTTTGATTTGTTAGTACCCACTTCCTGGGTGTCTAGAAACAGCTCTCCCACTCCTCTCTGAGAAGCAGCACCACACCAAGGAGATCAGAGGCTTTTCACTGGAGCACCCAGGACCAACCTGTTCCCTAGTCGGTGGCCCTTGTTGTCATCCACAGTGTTGTGACATCGTCAATATCTTCATTACAGAGAGTCCCCTCTTCTCAGGAACTACAAGCCAGCTGTAAGCTTGGAGAAGTGGGTCAGGTAGCAAATGCATCCTTGCCATAATTCACTTCATTTATTTGAAATCAGCAATAGATGTTTGGCGCAGACAATCCTTAGAGAGGTCAGTTCTGCTTGGTCTTGTCCAGTGAGCCTGTGCCTGGGAAGCATGTGCAAAGCGTGGTGTGACACTGCTTCTCTCACTATAAGCGTCTCACTATAAGCGCACCTGAGTATGACTGGTCTTTAAAGAGTGTTCTTTATACAGCCCTGGCCCCTGACTTCATTTCTTCAAGCAGATCTGATTCCCTGTGAGGGGAAAGCTGGCCATGCTGGGCTCACAGGTAGACAGCCTGTTAGCTCCAGCGACACACCTTCAGAGGGGTTTTCAAGGGTCATTTTTACTGGATTTCCACCTTACTTGCAAACCTTGGAAACTAGTCCCATGTCAGTATGACGAGGTGTACTTTTCAGTGTCACACGACCATATGGACAAAGAGAGCACTTGTTTTTTTTTGTTTGTTTGTTTTGTTTTTTATAACCTCATTTTTTTTTTTAAAGATTTTTATTTATTTATTTACACAAGCACTGGGTACAGTCAGAAGCGCGGGAGGGTGAGAGAATCCACCAGAGCCAGAGCGGGGAGCAGAGCAGGCAGAAGGACCGAAGTACACTGCTGAGGGGAGCAGCGGGCGGCAGGAGAGGTCTGTGCGCCATGCGGGACCCTCCTCCGGTGGCGCCATGTGGGAGCCTCCTCCGGTGGCCGGGGAGCAGCCAGGGATTGAACCAGCGCCACGGAGGCTTCCTGGCAGCTTCGCAACCCAGCGCTCAACCCGGGAGGCCCGAGAGCACTTGTTAAGGAAAACACTTTTTGGGGCCTCCCTGGTGGCGCAAGGGGTTAAGACGCAACCTGTGAAGCTATCAGCAGCCACTGCAGCTTGAGTTCCATCTCTGGCCAGGGAGCTACCCACATGGCTCAGCAGACCTCTCCTGTCTCGCCCGTTGTTCCCCTCAGCAATGTATTTCAGTCAGTCTGCCTGTTCTGTTCCCCACTCTGTCTCTGGTGAATCCTCTCACACACACCCCACACACACACCTCTGGCCTGTATCTGGGTTCTTGTATGCATAAATAAATAAATCTTAAAAAAAAAAAAAAAAGAAAGAAAGACTCTTTGGGGGCAACGGAGTATGGTTTTCTGGTTTCCAAGTCACAGAAAACTAAAACTAACTCTGGAGACTGCATGCAGTGTAGGGGAGGCCAGCCCCTGGGTCCCCAGTGATCCCCACCTCCTGTCTTCACACCCTCCCCCACACTGGGTCAGACCTGCATGGCCAGTAGAAATCAGCAGAAGTAATGTCTTGTCACCTCAAGACTAGGCTGTAAAAGGACGAGACTTTTGTCCTGGGCATTTTCCTCCCTGGGGTCACTCGCTTCAGGGAAAGACAATTGCCATGTTGAGGAGCCCTATGGACTAGTACAGAGGACTGGAGGCCTACCCATGAGACCACTGCAGCCCCCTCCCCAGTATCCTGGGGGCATTTTCCTGAGAAACCCTGAGCCACTCAGCCAAAGCTGCTCCTGGATTCTCGACCCTCAGATGATATGTGAGATAACAAATGTTTGTTGTTTCAAAGATGCTATGTTTGGGGGTAATTTACGCAGCAATGCATGATCAAACACAGCGCAGCAGTGGCCAGCTGGATGGGTCATCTGGACCCCCCTCTCCCTTTGTCCTCTCTTATTTCCTTTCCTTTATTTTCCTCTCACCTTAGAGTGCTTCAAAGTGAGTCAAGCCTGAGGCAGAGTGAGCAGAACACCCCCCAGGAGGCTGCCTTGGACACCAGTCTGAGTTACATCTGTAAGGTGAGTCAGGGGACCCGTCTCTCAGCTCGGATGCAGATGCAGCAGTTTAATTCCGCAAGAACCATCCAGCACCTGCCATGTACTCAGCAGCCTCACAGGTACCCAGGATTGATGGTACAGAAAGCGCATGCTCCACAGGCCCCAAGTCTGCCACCCAGGATTACAGCGGAACGGGTGGGGAGGATAAAGAAGAGGTGGGTGTTACCTCTCATCTCTCTGGCTGTTTTTCTGTTTTCATCCAGCAAAAGCCCAGGGGACTCCCCTTGCCATCCTCCCCTGCTGCCCGACCCCCATCTCCTAGGGAGGCCGACCCTACCTGAGTACTCTCTCTTCTCCCCAGTTCCTGACACTGTGTGTCCTCGCCCAGCCTGGGGCCTACACGGATGGCAACCTCCTGGGCCTGATTGAGCTGCTGTGCCGAGCAGGCCTGGATGTGGGGCTCCGCCTGCTGCCCAAAACCGATCTCCAGCAGCTCCTGGTCTTGCTCCTGGAGAACATTCAGGAGTGGCCAGAGAAGGTACCACAGGACCTGGGCCTTATTTGTGAGGTTCCAAGTGCTCCTGTCACTAGGAACTGGAGCAGACCCTAGAGCCAGGATGGGGACCCTTGGCTTGGAGTTCATCCACTGCCCAGGATCTGCCCCTATGGTGTTGGCCTCCAGGACCCAGCCTCCTATGTGCCAGGCTTTCCCTTGGAGTGGGTTGGTGCAGGGGTCAGGATGAAAGGGGCCCCTCCCATAGTCACCTGGAAGCTCATTGTGCCTGCAGCTGCAGCAGCTGTGCAGCGCCCTGAGCTGGGTGTCGGATCACCACCACAACCTGCTGGCTCTCGTGCACCTCTTCCTGGACGTCACCTCCCGGAGCAGGTGGGTGCTCCTTCTCCTCTGCCTCTTCCCTCTGGCACTCACCCCCCTCCGTGATGGGCTTGGCTGTGGGCATCCAAAATCCTCCCCAGCAGTCCCTACAAACCTCCCTCTCCACCCAATCTCTAAAACCCAGGAGAAAGAACTAAAAATACAGCTCACTAATGAGTTCATTACAAACTGAAAAAAGCCTAATTTTCTTAACATGGTCTTATTAACAAAACAATTGCCTTACACAATTAGCTTCAGTCTGGAGAGTCCCGCCCTCCTTCTTTGTGGCTCCCTCCCTAGGCCTTGGGGGGAGGAGGGTGCTCCTTCTTGCCTTTCAGACCTGAGCTGAATTTTGTTCCCAGAACACTCCCCACCCCCTCCCAAACTCACTGCTCCTCATTCTGTCTTAGTGTCTGCGTAGCATCTATCTCCACCAGACTTGCTCTCACTCTTGGTTTCCCCCGAACCGAAACTGACCTCTCCTCCCTGTTACTTCTAGGACAGCAGTCTCTTATGGGGATCCCTGCCACATCACCTGCTTCTACATAGGTGCCACTAGAACTGTGCCCAGCATGCTATGGGTGCTTTGGAAATTCTTTTGGAATGATTAAATGAGGGGAACAATAAACTCAGCTAATAGGGAGCCTCTTCCTCTGGACCTGGCCCCTGTCTCTCCTCCTCTCTCCCTTCTCCACTTTAGGCCTTATTGCTGGAATTCTCTGCCCTTCCCTAAGCAGACCACTCCCCCTCTCATCTCTGCTGCAGGTCCACTGCACCTCCTCACACCTAGAACGGTGCTTCTTCCCACTTTCTAACTAGGCCTGTTGTGAATCCCGCCCAAGAAAACCCTTAGCCTTCACAGACACCACTGCTGCTGCGACCTCCCCCTATGGGGGGTTATCTCAGGGGTCATCCCCCTGCTTCTGGAAGCAAACTTGGGGGTTTGAGCCACATCCCAGGGTCTAACCGGTAATCATCCATCCAGAGTGTCTTCTGGCCCATGCCCTCTCCTGTGACTGTTGGAAGAGAGGATGTCTCTCTACAGGACCCAGAGGGAAGTTTTTGCTCTTTTTAGACAGAGCTTCTAGAAGTTCCACCCAAGGCTTTGAGGTGTGGGCACCAGTGCTGCGCCTCTCCATCTGTGAGCACCATCTCCATTAAGCCTAGACTCCTGGGACTGCTTTTCTTCTGACAAGGCTGACCTTTACCTCAGGTTTCCTGCTCAGCCCCAAACAGTGAATCCAGTCCTTCTCTGCAAGCCAGAAGTTGCTGTCCCAGAGGTTTCTCCCATCCCCACCTCATTATCCCTGTTCATCCCTAAATCCTATCCCTTCTGCCTTCTAAGTCCTGAATCTTTACTTACACTTACCCACCTCCCCATATCAATGCCAGGAAAGCAGGGACCTTGCCTGGGGCACTACACTCAATTCAGCTTTCCTACCCCTCTTCCTCTCATCTCCTCACCCCTGGCTGGTGGCAGAAGCTTTCTCTTCCTCCCGCCTCAGATCCCATCTGCTCCCATGGCTGCCTGTGATCTCACATCTCTGACCCGCCTTTCTCCACATTGCCTAAGTGGTCAACTTTGTCTGTCTCCCCTCTTAATCCCATCTGTAACCTATTTTTTTTATAGGTATTAGACAAGAATCTAACTTGATTTTTTCACCTTCAAAGAACCAATGGACCCAATCCCAATTTTTTTTGGTCTGAATAATCCATCCTTTCACAACCAATTTGCTCTATCTTTGCCATAGCCTAAATTTATAACATCGTTCATCTGTTAGCCATGTCAAACATGATTTCAGGAGGCAGCGGTGTCTTTTACAGGGTCTTTTTGTAGCTTAGGGCCCATGATAAGTGCCCCTGAAATGCCAGGGGTGAAAAAAATGTAACAGCTTTCTCCTGGCTTTCAGATAGATACAGCAACTAGGGTAATACCTCCTGCCCAGAGCTTCACCAGGAAGGAGAGTTCATTGTCAGCGTGGGCATTTATTCATTTATTGGGAGATTTTATTTCTTTTTCTAAGTAGATAAAATTTTCAAATACAATAAAAATCAATAGGCACCAAGGGGACAATGTCCCCCTCCCCCGGGCTCCTGAGCCACCCAGCTTGTCACCACTGCTTATGCATGTCCCCTGCCCTGGCTTTCACCTCAAGGTGTGTTTTGGCAGTCTTTCCAAATTGGATCAGAAAGAGTTTCTAATTCTCTTTTATAGCCGCCTGTATTCACTGTGCTCTTTAATTCGCCTGCCTACCCCGGCTCCCATGGTGCAGATGTTGGAGGAGCCTGCTGGCTGCCTTGTTCTGCCCTCACTGGTGGCTGCCCCACTGGGCTCGATGCCCAGGCTGACCCCAGGAAGGAGGGCAGACGCTGTAAGATGGGCTGTCACATTCTTAGCAGGCTGACTTAAGCTCCAGGCGAGAATTCCCACCAGCATGTGTGCCATGCGCGCCCCTGCTTTGTTGATCAAGACTTCAAGGGATGTGCGGCAAATTTAAGGAGAAGTTGAGCATAACCATGAAAAATGAAAGTAAATACAAGAGCAAACCACCTGAAATGGGACTAATGAACTGTGGAGGTTCTTGGAGGAAAGTGTGTCCAGGGACCACGGCCCCTCCGGGGTGGCTCCGGGAACTGCTGGAATGAGCAGCGTCAGCCCCTTCTGCCCAGGGATTCAGCGTGTGTTGGCAGCAGGCCTGGCGGCCACTCAAATAAAACCATTGAGGGGTAGAGGGAGGCTGAGGGCTGCCATCACTCCATAAAAGCTGATGTCCCCAAGCTCTGGAGACCCACCTCATTCGCCAGCCTCAGTGTTTATTAAATATCCGGTGCGTGCAGCTTCACTGTGGCCCTCAAAGTGAAGGGGAAGATGAAGCCCGTTTACACAGACTGCCTGGGTGGACGGAGGATGGACCAAGGCTTCCTGAAGCAGGTCACAAAACCGACCCCAACAGTGACATCGAGTTCTTCACCCAGAGGATTGGCAGAGACCAGGAAGCACAAGGATGGCAGGAAGTGTGGAGACTGTTTGCAGGGTGTGTGTCCACATAGTCCATCTGGAAGGCAGTTTGGCAAGATCACACTTCTCTGTTTTTCTTCACTGACTTATCAAACAGCCAATGTTCCTGAAGCTTATTTCGTGTTATCTGCCCTTTCCCCCTTCGAATGCAAGCTCCCTGCAGGTGTATCCCTAGTGCCTAGAACAGAGACTAGAACATTATGGGTGCTTATAAAATACTCAGTGAGAAAGTAAATGCCAAATTCTAGCTCTCTTCTCTCTGTTCCTGTGTCTTTTTTTTTTTTTTATAGAGGCATGTTTATTTATTTGTTTATTTGTTTGTTTGTTTGTTTTGTTTACACATGCACTGGGTACAGCCAGAAGCACGGGAGGGTGAGAGAATTCACCAGAGCCAGAGCGGGGAGCAGAGCAGGCAGAAGGACCGAAGTACACTGCTGAGGGGAGCAGGGGGCGGCAGGAGAGGTCTGCGCGCCATGTGGGACCCTCCTCCGGTGGCCGAGGAGCAGCCGGGGATCGAACTGGCGCCGCAGAGGCCGCGGGCAGGTTCGCAACCCAGCGCTCAACCGCTGCGCCACCGGGGAGGCCCTGTTCCTGTGTCTTTTGAGGAAGAATTTGGACATCTTGTGTTGGGGAAAATTCCTCATTGTGCCACTCCCTCTCCTCAGAAGCCAAGGATGAGTGAGTTCTTTGTTCCAGCCCCAGGCTTCACTATCAGAGGCTCTTGAGGACAGGACCCCACAGCCATCACCAGGTTCCTCGGGGCTCTTGCCTGGACTGACCCTTGGCACCTGACTCTCCTGAGGCCAGTTCTCCATCCATCCGTGAATTCTGGAGTTCCCCAGTAATCTCTCAGCATGGTCTTGTCCTGCCTGAGGCAGCTGTATTTGACCACCAGTGAGGAGCTGACTGATAAAGCAAACATGCAGGCAGTCCTGGGAGAAAGAAACCTTGGAATCAGCAGGTCTTTCTGCATTGGGCATGGAGTGGTGATGCTTGCAGGTGCACTATAGCTTTCCCCAGAGTGCTCTTGTGTGTTCCTCGTTGCTGGGTGGGAGCCACTCCCTGTCTTCAGGGTTGACTGAGGGCTGCACCTTCCATCCCGCAGCTCACAGCCACACCCAGGCCCTGCGCCAGTTCCTTTATTCCTGGCCCCTCTTCTCTCCCAGCTTCCTTTCCTCACTCCACCTCACGCCACTGTTAACTCCCTTCCTGCATGCTTTTTAGATCTGCCCACCCTGAAAACGGCACAGGATATGATGTGGTGCCGCAACATGTTTCCCTTGCCCTCACCTCAGCCCCTGACCCCTTTAGGCTGCCCAGGAGCCATTGGATGAGTTACCTGGTCAGCCTCCTCAGGTCCTTAGCAGATCTCAAACTTCATTACACTTCTTGCTATTACAGGGTCCCTTCTTTCTCAACCATCTGCCACCCCCACCGAAAAACCTAGTGCACCTGTGACTCTTACCTCCTGACCCCTCCTTTCCATATTTGGGAGACAGCCAGCAGAGAATGAAAAGCTAAAGTATAGGAATGAGAAGTGAGGGCTGCAGAAGGAAGGTTCTAGAAGAGACAGGACTTTTGGGATCCCGAATAGCCAGGCAATTTTAAGAGTCCACTTCCTGGAGAACTCAATCTGAGATGCCATCTCATTCATGGCCTCAACTCCAACTACATGCTAAGGATTCCCAAGTCAATATTTTGGCCAGACTGCTGCTAAGCCCCAGATCTGTGTCAGGTATTTAAAATTCAGCATATGCAGAATTTAAGTCACTGCCTTCCAAGGAGGACTACCTCCTCATGTCACCCATGGCCTAGTATGGCATCAGCATCTGCCCCTCCCCAAAATCTGGGTAGTCTGGGTACCCTTTTATCCCTCTGAGCTTCCCTTTCTCACCCAGAAGTCGTCCTTCCTTGTCACCTTCACTGGTGCAGTCTTAGTTGAGGGTCTTACTACAGCACCCCTGGATTTCTGCAGGGGAATCTGCCCAGCTTC